AAGTTTCTACAGTTATAAAATAGGCAATATCTCCTTTACAATAACTTATATGAAGCACTTGGAACAGAGCTGGATACAATGAATGCTTGCTATTACTACTATTTCTCTACTAAAATTAGTTAGGTACACATATGTACCTCTCCTTAATTTTAAACTCTGAAAGGTACATCGGGCTTATCTTTCTCTCTCCCACAGTGCCCAGCACTGTGCCTCACATAAAATAAAAGAGCTTGATCTGAATTTGTAGGGAAACACTGCATACAGAAAGAGTATCAGTTCCAAGGTACAAAACCACATAAGCCCAGAGATGTATAAATACCACGCAAATCTTCCCAGGTAAAAACAAATGTCCTTATTTCCTTTAAAAAAAGTTTTTAGAAATTCATCAACATGTAAACACTGATTGTCATTGGTGCTTGATCCACAATTCTCCCCTTTTATCTTCTTTTATGATAGTTAAGTTTTCCTACAACATATACCCAAGGGAAAAATTATCAAAATCATTACAAGGATAAATAAAACTGTCTGCCTCTGAGTCAGAAAGTAAGAAAGTCAGAGACCTAGAGTCCAGCCTCTGCCAATCCCTATCTGGCTACCTGACCTTAGGCAAGTCAGTCCACTTTCCTGTAAAATGAGAGGGACTACATCTGCTCTGATGACATCAATAGGTGGCAGGAGACCCAGGACCAAGCTGTGGAAACACTCTCTGTAACCACAGCTCCCGAGAACCTCCTCAGCAAGCCTGGAGCCACCGGTTGCTTTTACCTTCTATTCCAAGTCAGACCTTTATTCCCTTCATGTCCCACCTTCATAAATGTTGTTCTTGTCATTAAAAGAAAGAATAACTCACAAGGTTGCAATCTTTTTCTCACCTTGTAAGCATTGTACAAGAGTAATGAGAATGAATTTGGGGCTGTGATCATAACTCTCTGTTAATGAGCACCACCCGTGTTTGAAACACCACCAGCTGTGAGCCCTTATTTTCACAGGGTGTTTTATTTCTTCCTTTTTAAAATTCTCTCTAACACATTGGAAATTTCAGACCTCAGTGCACTCCGGCAGATCATGTGCAGCAGAAGAAGGCGAAACAGCTAACCACAGTATCAGAGAAAGATGGTTGAAAACTGAGCTGAAGGTTCAGCTCTAGACCAAACAAAATAAGGTCAACTCAAACTGGCAACCTCTTTCTGAAAAGGCATCATTAGGCGTGAGTGCAAGATGCTTATATGCCAGGAAAAAGCCATTTAAAGGTCACAGCTATAAAGACGCTATGCCCATAAACTCCACAAAGTGTATACATGATGGAGCAGAGTGGGGGTCCAATAGACAAGCTAACCAGTAAGAGCCTCTTTTTATCTAGTTTACAAACTTATCCAGACTGAGCCTAGAATATCAGAATAGGTCAATGCAAGAAAGGGGCTGTGCAAACATATTGTAGGAACTTTGTGGGAGACAAGAGGCTCTCAGATGCATGACTTTCAACAGAAGGTCAGCTACTCAACAATAAAAACAGTAATTCCTAACAGCTCAACTTCTTCATCAATAAAGTGTGGACAATAATTACCTGCATTATAATTTGTTGTGAGAGCCAAATAAGACAATACACAAAAAGCATACAGTGTCTGGTACCTAATAAACCGTCAGTAATCTTTAATGCCACATTAACATTTATTTGATCACAAGAATAACTTGTGAAACAAGTAAAGGGCTTGCTCAGAGTCATGCAACTAAAAAGTGATAGGGGCCTGGTGGATCTTAGGACTAACATTCCATAATCTTGGCTGCAGCAGGAGTTTGAGAATGCCACCTTTCCCTTTCAGTGGTGCTATACACCTGAAGTCAGGGAGCCACAGGCCTGCAGGGTTTTTGAACACAGGAGGCTAGAAACCAGGTTTGACATGAATATCAGATTAAACCCTCAGAGCAGTTGCCACACATGATCCTGGGGGCCTAGGTATGGTCTCTCATAGCATCACAAAATGACACTTCTTGACATTCTTGTTTTCTACATAATAAAACCACTACCTCAGCTAATGACCCAAGGCCCCTGTAGCTACCTTAATTAATTAAACATAAGAGTTGTCAATTTAGTAAGCACTGTGTTAAACCCTTTACAAACATTTCATATAATCCTCACAATCAGCCTGGAGGGTGGGAGGGAAAGAGAAAAGTATCCTTACCCCTATTTAAAAGGCAAAGAGGCCCAAGGACACAAAGCTAGTAAGTAGCCTAGACACAGTTTGAATCCCAATCTGCAGAGAAAATGTCACACACTATCTGTTTCCATTAACCCCTCATTCTCTCCCCATCCTTCCTGCATACTCTTGGAGCATAAACCTAAAATAAAGTCTTCATTTTCCCTTTGTCAGAGAGGGTATTTAGCCCACTTAGGGGAGAAGCCAGGTGGATGAGCTGGTGCAGGGTCAGACTGCCCCTTTCCCAGGTTGCCGGGGTCAATATAAAGGCTTCAGCTAATGCTGAACTCACACCAGCCTGAGGCACCCAAGGCAAACATTAGCAACAGGACACACAGGAGAATTCCAATCACCCTCCTAAGTCTGATCCTACAACTCATAGTGACATTGATGCCCTCATCTCATAACCCCACAGACTCTCTGATCACTGCCCTCTTGCTCAACTCACAGCATCCAAGGATCACTACTACTCATCTCTACAGAATCGCCTTAGGTAGCTTTCCCAAGCAGTGGCTAACCTCCCTGAATTTTCAGCCATGGCCACCAGACCAGAAGGTAAGCAGACTTTAGATGGCAGGCTTAGGAAGATTTTGCGTAACAGAAAAAAGCTTGTTTCTAATCAGGGCCACCTCCAAACCCTCAACACACAGAATGCCAGCAGCTCAGGGCACAGTTAGAGAAGGCAGTGCTCTCAAAGTCAGAACCTCCCTGTATACTGAGGGGAGGGCACCCTGAGTGTACATACCACAAACCCAGACGGAGAAACAGGTACCATCAATGCCTCAGTTGCCCAGGGGATCAGGGCCAGCTGTCTCTATAAAGCTAAGCCATCCTTCATTGGTTTCCTCCCTGCAAGGCTGGGATGGGACTCTGTCTCTGCACAGCCATCTGAGCAGCCCAGCCCATGGAGATCAGAGCAGGCAAGGATAAACCCAACACCCTAAGTACTGAGTGAGTGGACAGAAAACTGGGGTGAGGGATGTGGAGGAGTACAGCAGCCTGTGCCAGCCCACTCCTGACCCAATACACATCCCAAACTCAGAGCTAAATGCTCCTTGCCTGCACTTGGCCTCCCAGAAGCCCACTCCTTGCCCCATCCCATACCCCTTGTGCTCCCAAGACTGTGAACTTGCAAGGCATGCTTGTCTTCTCATCACACTTGCACAACGCTGCCAGGAAGGTTGAGTTTGCCATCTCTCCCCAGGTTGCCTCTAACCAGCCCCCACTCATCCCCAGAGCCCAGCCCCTCCCACACCTTCCTTTTAAGCCTGAGCCCTCCCACTTCCACTCTTCAGGGTCCATCCAGAAGGACCCCAGCACACGGAGCACCTCCAGTGCTTTCTGGTACCAAAACTCTCCCACAAGGGGCTGGGGATTTAGCTCAGTGGCAAAAGCGATTGCCTGGCAAGCGCAAGGTCCTGAGTTCGGTTCCCAGTACCGGAGAAAAAACAAAAACAAACAAACAAAAAAAAAACAAAAAACTCTCCCACTGCCCAGAACAGAACAGAAACTGCCTGAAGGAGAAGCTTCACTCAGCCTTTGTAACTCCCTGCTGGGACCTCCACTTTCTGTGGAGGACTCTGGGAGAGACAGTCAGGTGCTCCTTTTGCCAAAGCCCACACAGTCTCACAGGGCAGGGCCTGAAAATACATCCCAGGACACCTGTGGAGTGTGTGCAAATGTCGTTGGGCACTGGGGCTGGCACAGGGTAGCATTTTTCACAACCTGACTTGCCAGTTAAGAGGACTCGGCTCTCACACATCTGGTCTGAAAGCTTTATCAGGAAGCTGCCCTAAGACTGGGATGAGAGTGAGGCTGGTTTCAGAAGGCAAAGACAGGAAGGTACAGACTGTTCCAAAGAGGATGAAAACGAGGGATGCTCCCTTTCTGCCTTCCCCGCATAGCCTGGACCATCCTATCAAAAGGGAAAGGAGGATCCCCCCTTCCACAGGAGTGTGGATGAGGGGTAGGGAGGGGCAACTCCTGAATCCTCAGGAAACAGACTGCAACACCTTGGGTTTAAGCCGTAGCAGTAGAGAAAGAAGAGGGACATGCACTCTACCAATCTCATTTCCAGATTCTCTCTCCAGCCTAGACACATTAATAATTAACTCGCCTACCCAGGGGCTCGCCTGGCACTGCCATAAAAGATGAGTAATGGTACGGGAGCCCGGCCCCATGCCCATGGACGGACGCCTGGAACAAAGCCTCTGCATTCCTCCAGGAAGGTGTGCCTGAAATCAGAGCTGTCATAGGCGAGAAGCTGACCCCTTACCTCCTTGGTGGCTCTTCGAAGTGTGGGTGGAGAGGCACCGTGAGCAAGAGGAAGTGAGCAGGCGCCCGGCGCGCCAAGCGGGACGCGCAGAGAGGTCGCCTGAATCCACCTCCTGACCCCCACCCGCTGCCAGTGCCGGCCCCCGTTGTCCCTGCAGCCTGCACGCCTCCGGGGCCTTGGGTCCCCAACCACAGCCAATTTCGGTAAGCCACGCTGTCTGCTGAGAGAATCCTGTTACCATGAACGCAGGCTGTACTTGGAGACCTGATTCTTAAAACAACAAGGCAGCTCCCTCGGCGCTCCCTCGGCGCCCTTCCCGATGAGTAACCCGAAGCCGGGCGCCGGCTCAATGAATTCTCTCGCGGAAACTCCAGGGTGAGCAGCGGCTCCCATGCCAATGTTCAGCCCCGGCGAACCGGCTCCTGTCACACTGCACCCAGACACAAAGCACCCTCAGACGCAGCCGGTGCACCCTGCGTCCTGCAGGCTGTAGCCCACAGACCCCCAAAAGTTATGGCGCGTGCACACACCTGCAGGCCCCCCTCAGCGGTTCCCGCCAGTCCCCCAAGGCTGCGGGGCATACATCCCCCGGCCAGCAGCGCCGCGGCTCCATGCGCCCTCTCCGTGAGCCCAGTCCTGCAACTGGTCAGCAGCGCTGGGCGACAGAGCACACTGGGGCCTCCACGCGCGCGCAGCACATCGCGCGCCCTCCGCGTCCTCGCAGGGCCCTTCCCAAAGAGCCCACACCCATTTGACATCAGCGCAGACTCGAGCACGTGGCACAGCGCCAGACGATGGACCCCGGCAGTCCAGAGCGCGCCACGGGCGATGCTGCTCGCCCAGGACGGCGCGTCCCAGCACGGCGCATTCCTTTCCTTGGAGAGGATGCTGCAGGCGGTAGGCAGCTGGGAAGTGGAGGAGGGGAGGGAAGCCCGAGGAGGCGGCTGGATCCAGGGCCTCGGAGCGGCGCCACTTTGGCGCCTAGCCAGCCACCAGGAGACCTGAGAGCCCTTGCCGCAAGTACCCATCTAAGGTGAAGACCAGGCTGCAGGTGACCCGGTTTGCTGTCCTCAGCCCCCAATGAGCCTTCTTAGAGACTTGACCTTGAATTCTCTCCCCCAGAGCGATATAAGAAGGACCCTCTTTAATTAAAAACAAAACAAAACAAAACAAAAACCTGCTAAATTGCTGGGGCTGCTTCTGACAAGCTAGTAAAGACACTTTGATTGTCTGCGGATGCTGACCCCCCCATCCCCAGAGGGCCACTATCAGTCATCCAGGAAAGTCAACCATACCTTCTAGCGTGTCTTCCCACCAGTCACCTCAACTAAGCCAGCTTTCTTTCAATGCCCTTGGCAAAAAGGGACTGCTCTCCTAATTCTGCAGGCAATCAGAAGCAGCAACACCCAGCAGCCCACACACACATTTCTAATTATTCATTAGCATCCATCCAAATACTCAAATGTTCAAACATAAATAAGGCTCAGTATGTGCCAACAAAAACAGACAGAAGATAAAGTTCCTGCACTCACGACCCCTGCAACGAATGGAAAGAGATGTTAAATACAGAACAAAGCAATCACAGTGGTTGACAGGAGTACTAACGGTAAAAGGTGCTAGAAGAATGCGGGAGAAGCCTAAATTGTCCTGGCAGTCTGGGAAGCCTTCCCTGAGGAAGTCACACTTGCACTGCTAAGGTATGTGGTGAAGGAAGTTCAAGCAAAGATACTGGTTACTGAAGTACGAAGTTGTTCCCATTCACAAGTGGAGGTGGTTAAGCAGGAGCAGATGGCTGTGCCAAAGACGCCTGGGCTTTTGCCCTGGAAGGATGCTGGGCAGCTCATAGGCCCTGAAAGACATCCTGGCTGTGTGTCCGTGTGTCTCATCTCTCCGTGACCTATGGCTGTTTCACCCCAGTGAAGAGCACTGAACAGGGCGGCAGGAACCTTCACTTCTGGCTCCAATTCCATCATCAATTTGCTTTGTGGTGCTACAGAAATCCCTTCCACTCTCTGCTTTCAGAGTTCTGTCTAAAATGATGGGTTGCATTAGGGTAGTGTTTCTTCTTACAGCTGTGAACTCATATCCCCCTCTGGATAAGCACACAAATATCATTCCCATTTTGTAGTGGCTTTCTTTTTGCAGGGAATACTAGGGATTGAACCCAGCCTACACACTGAGCCACATCTCCTGCTCTTTTTAAATATTTTTTATCTTGAGATGGCCATCTCAGTAAGTTGCCCAGAGTGAGCTCAAACCCCAGATCCTCCTGCCTCGGCCTTCTGAGTGCTGGAATTATAGATATGTGCCACCACACCCCATTCTGTAGTTCTACGGTGAGAATACACCAAATTATTTTCTAAATATACTGAATATGCTTTTTGATTTTGACTTGTTTCTTTGAGACAGGGTCTCACTATGTAATCCCAGCTGACCTTGAACTCACTATGTAGCTAAGGGTGGCCTCAAACTCATGGTGATCCTCCTGCCTCAGCCTTCTGAGTGCTGGAATTACAGGTGTGCACTACTACATCAGGCTAGAATATGCCTTTTTGAACTGGACACACCCCTGAAGTATTAAATAATATGCTGTCTTTAAATGTTGCTCAAGATAGCTTGCAGGCAGGAATAAATAAATGACCTTCAAGCTCACCACTGTTATCTGTCTCACCTTCCCACAGAAACCTAGCTACCAGCACATATCCCTTGCCTCAATTTATGTATTTATTCTTTCCTGGACAAACTGCCCAGACAATGGAACAAAAGCCCAGGGTCATCCCCATACACATACACAAAAAAAGGCATGTTGTGAAGACTTTTTCTTTTTTGAAATGATAATTTTTAGTAACAGACAACAGACACGTTGTAATGGTTTTTGTTTTGTTTTGTTTTGTTTTTTAGGCAGGGTCTGATTTGTAATTCAGGCTGGCCTTGAACTCATTATGTGACCCAGGGTGGCCTCAAACTCAGTGATCCTCCTACCACAGGCTCCCAAGTGCTGGTATTATAGGCATGCACCACCATGCCCAGCAACAACAGGCACTTTAAAAGGGAGCATACAATGTTTCTGGGGACAATTTGGCAATATGAATTACAAGGCTTAAAAATGCTCATACTGGGTGTGGTGGTGCATCCCAGCTATTAGGCAGGAAGATCACAAGTCAGTTTGGACAACTCAGCAAGACCCTGTCTCAAAGTAAATTTTAAAAAGGGCTGGAATGTAGTCCAGTAGTTGAGCACCTGCCTAGCACAGATTCAACCCCCAGCATCACACACATACAGAGAATACTCTCGAGCCAGGGATACAGCTCAGCAGCACAGCACCTACCTGGCAATCAAGGTCCTGAGTTTGATTTCCAGTACCAAAAAAAAAAAAAAAAAAAGTTTATAGGTAAATGGATGCAACTAGAGACCATACTTGTATGTGAAATAAATCAGACTCACATGTGTAAACATCATATTGTCTCCCTAATGTAAGAACCAGAAAGAATAAATAAAACCCAAAATGTACAATAGATATTATGAAGGGAAAGAAATCACTCAAAAGAAGGAACAACTGGGATGAAGGAAAGAAGAAAAACAAAAAAGAGATTATATATACATATATAGTATATATATATAGAGAGAGAGATAACTGGGATAATTATACTGCTGATATCTAATGGTTTATTGAAAGGAACAGTTAATGCTCAATTTTTTTGACCAATTTTGCATGCTTCTATCTAGTAATCTGAACAACTAATTTGAAGACAACAATATGCAATATAACAACCATTGTTGAATTTCTACCATCTCGTTTAGTGAAGCTCTGTATCATTTCTAATTTTATTATTTTTATTCTCTTTAATGATTTGATCAGTCTTGCATTCTTACATCTGGTAATCTGAGCAACTTCATTAAAAATAACAGTATGTAATATAACAACCACTGTTAATTCCTATCATTTTATTTTGAAACCTGGTATCATTTTTATTATTTTTGCTTTGTTTTGTTTTTGTCTATGTTGTTATTTTACTATTTTTTATTGTCTTTAAAATAAAAAAATAAAAATAAAAATACATCCTATGAACCATCAATTCTGCATCTAAGTATTTATCCAAAAGACATAATTGTGCATGGGCACATGATCCATAAAGATGTTCATTTCATCATTTTCATCACAGCGAACAATTGCAAACGACATACATGTGTAACAAAAGATTGGTTAAACTGTGATATGTCCTTACAAAGGAATACATAAAACTTTTTAAATGATACATATAAAATATTTACTGGAGAATAAAACAAAAGAGTGTGTGTGTGTGTGTGTGTGTGTGTGTGTGTGTGTGTTCTGCCTGGGGGAATAGTGGCAGGGGAATGGTATGCACCTTCTGTGGAGTTGTCTTACTGGTTGACTTTGTACCTGTTCCCTGAAGTATGTTCCCACTATAGCTGTCACCCTCACAAGAAAATTTATTAACCTATTTAAAGCTATAAAACCTTAATATTAAAACAAAAAGAGCCCAGGCATGGTAACACACACCTGTAATCCCAGCACTCAGGAAGCTGAGGCAGGAGAATTGCTGTGAATTCAAAGCCAGTATGAACTACATAATGAGACCCTGTCTCAAAACAAACAAATAAAAAGGGCTGGGAATATAGCTTAGAGATACAGCACTTGCCTACCATGCACAAGACCCTGGGTTTGTTACCCAGCATGGGGTAGAGGGGACAAAACAGCAGAATAGAATAAATCTTACAGGCAAGCAGGAACACAGTCCAATTCCTTACTAACACCCACTCACCAGTAGGAATTTGATAGTAATTATAAAGAGAAAATAGTTTTCTCCCCAGGCTTTTCATCTCATATTTTTTCAGTTTTTTTTTTCTTAAGTCTGGCTAAATGGTTTTCAAACCAGTGTGCATGAAAGTTATTGTCCCTGGTGATTTAAGGTACATTTGACTTTATGAGATATTTTTACCTTACACTTTGACTCCAAATCTAATCACTGCACAGAAAGTTCAATAATCAGACAACTAGAAAGATACCTGCTAGAGTCTTAACAACAATATGGACTTACAGTTGATTTCCTTCCTTGGGATTTTCTGGTTTTGCCAAATTATCTTACAGTAAACATATATTACTTTGCTGATCAGAATATAAAGTGCTGTTTGAAATAATGGGTTAAAAATTCTCCAAAAGATAAACTGAAAAGAAATTATGCCTTGACTTTTAAAAAGTGACTTTTTGCCCTTCATGTCCCTCCCTTTGGCAAGCTCTGACTGCCCATTGGTGTCCCAACACCCAAGGACAGACAGTCCATTGTCGCTAGGATACCAAGCAGGAAAAACTGGCAAGAAAATTATTTTTACATTTACCTCCTGGGCTGTGCTTATAATAATGCTCAGAAGCTTAGACAAAGGTCTCAAAATGAAACAGCAGTGACCATCAGCTAATGGATCTGTCCCCCACTCCCAAAACCATCTACCAAACATTCTATGTTCTTAAGAAGATGAGAGCACATAAGGCAAACAGGCTTGGTCCAAAGTACCATAACCTGGGGCTGGGGATTTAGCTCAGCAGCAAAGTGCCTGCCTGGCAAACACAAGGTCGTGAGTTCAATTCCTGGTACCCGAAGAAAAAAGAAAAAAAAAAAAGTACCAAAAACCGTTCAGATACCTTTTTCCAGACCTGGTAGAGCCACGGAGCATACAGAATAATCAACTGAGTAAGACCAAGCTGTAAATTACACTGGGTTCTGCAATAACTGGTTGGATGATCTGTGGCTCAGTTTCTTAGAAAACAGCTTCATAGAGATGCTACTTCCCTGGTGGGGGAGGGTAAAAGTGCTTGGACAAATGGAGGTATACGAGAGGACTTTTG